CCCCAGAGAAAGTACTGATGGAATCTGAATGCAGATTGAAGCATACTTTTTAAAACTTTATTTTTCTTGGAGTTTTTTTTTTGTCTTGCTGTTTTCTTTTGCACCATGGCTAATATGTTAATATGCTTTGCATCACTGTATATGTATAATTTATACCAAATTGCTTGCCTTCTCAGGGGGGAAGAAGAAGGAGATGGAGGGAGAGAATTTGGAACTAAAATTTTTTTTTAAATGTAAAAATTGTTCTTACATGTAATTGGAAAAAAAGTAAAAAATAAAAAAAAGGAATCACATTCTATTATCCACTTTTTTGGGGGGCTAGGCAATGGGGTTTAAGTGACTTGTATAGGGCCACACAGCTAATAAGTGTTATGTGTCTGAGGCTGGATTTGAACTCAGGTCCTCCTGAATCCAAGGCCAGTACTCTATCCACTGAGCCACCTAGCGGTCCCCCATCATCCACTTCTTCCTCAACCTCTTGTAACTAGCTTCTGACCATACTCTATTACAACTACATGACCTAATTACCAAATCTGATGTTTTTTGGTTTGGTTTTTTTTTGTCTTTAATCACTTCATGATGTCTTATGTTACCTTGGAAGTCACTTAACCTCTCAGGATCCCAGTTTCCTCATCTGGAAAATGAAAGGGTTGAATGAAATGACTTCTAAAGTCCCTTCTAGCTCTGGATCTACATGATCCTATGATGTGCTACATGACACTACTGACCCTTTGCTGTTACCTAGAAATTCTTTACTTCCTGTTATTCAGAGATAACAGCAATTCAACATTTATTAATCACCTACTGAATACAAAGAAGCTACAAAGACAACATAGATAATATCTGACCTCAGGAGATAAGATTCTACTGAGAGAAATACAACAGGTACAGAGATAAGTAACATAGTATATACAAAGTAATTTCATGAGGGTTGGGGCACTAATGACAAGAGCAGGGTTCAGCAAACACCTTGTGTAGACAGCTGCATCTGGGTTGGGCCTTGAGAGATACTAGGACTTCTAAGAAGCCAAGGTTCAGGAGGAGTACATGGGCAAACAACCTGTGCAAAGGCAAGAGAAATATGGAATGTCATGGACAGAAAACAATAGGCAACTAGCTCAAACGCAGAATGAATTTCTTCACTTGCTCATACTCTTGTCAGCCCCTTAGTATGGATATTCCCCAAGTTTCTTGATGTCTCTTGTTAATCTTCACTCCCTCCCTAGGCAACCTTGTTCAATCACAGCTTCAGCTTCTACTTGTATGCAGATGATGATTAAATTTCTTTCTTCTACCTAATAGCTCTTCTGAAAACCAGAACTACTCCACCAGTTCTCTATAGGACACTTCTGCTTGAATGTCTAATTGGCACAAACTAAACATATCAAAAAACAAATTTTTCTTTTTGCTCCCTAAACAGGCTCTTCCTTTTAACACTGCTTGTGGCCTTCAGCCTCGGTCTCATTTTTTGTAACCTTTAGTAACTTTTTATCCATCTCATTCACTTCCCATATCCAATCAATAACCAAATCTTGTCAATTCTATTTCACATCCCTTGTAACTCACACCATCCAAAGGCAGCTCATTACCACCCACCAGGACTACCAAAATTAACTACTTTCTGCCTCCACTCAGCCCCCCTCATCATACTAGATGATGCTACTGCCAGAATCAGCTTTTTTATAAATTTGTTGTTGTTCAGTCATTTCAGTCCTGTCTGACTCTTTGTGATCACATTTGGGGTTTTCTTGGCAAAGATACTAGAACGGTTTGCCATTTCCTTCTCCAGCTCATTTTACAGATGAGGAAAGTGAGGCAAACATGGTTATGTACCCAGGGTCACAAAACTAGAAAGTGTCTCGGGTCACATTTGAACTCAGGTCTTCTTGACTCCAGGCCTTGTACTCCACCCACTGGCCACCTAGGTGCCCCTTCATATAGATCAATCAGATTATGTTGCTCTTTTGCCAAAAACAAAATAAAACAAAAAACTCCAGTGGCTTGCAATAAGCTAGAATTTCTGCCTGGCATTGATTTTCCTTCACAATTTGGCACCACTCTGTAATTTGCTAGCCTTATCTCATACTACTTCCCTCTAAGCACTCTGTGCTCCAGGCAAATTGAACTAAAAGACACACTGTGGTGTAGGAGAAGGGGCACTGGCTCTAAAGTAAGAGAATCAAGTCACAGGCTACCAGGCCAGTCTTCTCTTCCTAGCATGTAAAATATAAGGATTGGACTAGGTGACCATCTCTGAGATCCATTCCAGCTCTAATGCTATAATCCTAATTTCTGGCCTCTAAACATGCTATGCATTCTCCTTATACTCTAACTTTATTCACAGCATTTCCTATACTAAGAATTTGCTTTCATCCACTGAAAACCCAACTTTAAAAATCCCAAACCAAATGCCAAATCCTCCATCTGTAACACCTTCCCTAATCTGAACACTCTCTCCACTTCCCTTTTAAATCTACTATAGCAATTTGTTTTGCAATTCCTTAATGCATTTCTCAAGTAATACTGTGTATCATGTTTTCTGTTGGTATTGTATTTCTATTAAATGATAAACCCTATGAGGACCAGAACAATGTCTTATCTTAATTTTGTACACTGAAGTAAAAAAAAAATACGCCTAGCCTAGCATACCTGCACAGAGAATGTAGTAAGTATTTGCTAAAGGAATGTGTATCTTTTCTACATATAATATTGCCTGTACCCATGAACATATAGAAGTAGAATAGTACAGAGGAAAAAGCACCAGACTGGAATTCAAAAGACCCAAATGAAATCCTGGTTCTCTCATTTGCTAACTTTGCAACCCTGGCAAAATAAATTCATCTCTCTGAGCCTCAGTGATTCTATAAAAGGGGGTTCAAATGGATGATCACTAAGAGTTTTTCCAGCTCCAAATCCTCATATGCTTTCAATCAACCAATAAGCTTTCATTAAGTGCTTGCATTGTGCCAGAAACAATAAATTCAGGGGACACAGATTCAAAAGCCTGAGCCTCAAGGAGCTTTCATTCTATGGGGGAAGACAACATGTTTACATTAGCATGTACAAAATATATGCAAGATAAATAGAAGGTAATTTGGTGGGGGACTGAAAATGATCAGGAAGGGCTTCCATGTAAACGAAGTTTAACTTTGAAGTAAATGAGGGCTTTTCTGAGTAGGGGTGCGGCGTGCGGATTGCATTCCAGGCAGAGGGAGGAGGGCAACTAGTGTTAAGATCATACCCATGATCATCAACAAGTACGGGGCTTATGGAACTTTCTATTTCTAACTCATTCATCCACATTAGATCCAGGGTGGCACTGAAGCAAAGCCTTACCATCTGTTGGGAAATACTGAAGTGGTGGGCTCTGTCCAGTCCTCAGTGAAATAGTTACTGTTAAGCTTTTTCATGAGAGGTAGTATGTTTTAAGTGCATAGAGCCTGGAGCTAAGACCCTGTTCAAGTCCAGCCTCTGACCCTTATGGGTTATGTGCCCAGGAAAACCATTAAACCTCATAGTGTCCCAGGCAGAACTGATCAGCATTCACTCATGGAGTTTGCTCCCTGGGCTTTTCTTAGAACCAACAAAATCACAGGTCCAGCCAAAAAACAACAAAAATTTTTCTTATAATAAACCTTTGAAAAGTACCCAAACTGAACGAACACAAAAACTCCTATTTTAATATGTCCTTATGGCTAATGCTGAAGTTGGCATGAGCCCTGAGCATCCAGTAAAATGAGAGAGAGAGAAGCTACCTTTTTTTGGGTTAAGTTCGCAGAAGTTAATGCTATAATGTCCACAATGTGCAATTCTTGTCTACATTGAACCAAAAAGTACTGCCCTGATAAAGCTACTTAACATTCACTCGGCAGTTTTCATTGCTGCAAGATGGAGTATCTTTAAAGTGTAATTTATGGTTGAGCTAACAAAATCTTTTGTAATAAGTAAGCTAGAGTTCTGAAAATTCAGGATAGTCAAATATGATAAAAAAAATTTAATTCTGGACAAGTTAATACAGGGGGTGTGTGTGTGTGTAAAACTTAATGACTAAAATTCCTGATTTCAGTAAAATGACAGAAGGTGAAAAGGCAGGGCTGTGGTTCTGTATGTTTTGCTCCATTGTTATCAAACAACAAAGACCTCGGAAACTTGGGGCAGATCTCATTTCAGCCCAAAAGCACAGGCCTGGAATTTAAATGTGCAGGGTGTCGGATTATTTTGCGGTAAGAAAAATGTTGTGTTTTAAAAAAAAAAATTGGGATTCTGTTTTACCAAAGGATACTCAGATTTCTGTTCAAATCCCCCAAAGATTTTAAAGACTATACACTTCCCCACCACCGTATTCCCAAACCTGCAACCCAGGCTACAAGTCATCAGCATTTTTTGTACAGGGATTTTTCACTCAGAAATAAACTATTCCAAATAACAAGAAAGGAACGAGAGAAAGAAGAAAGGGCTAATGAGGTAGGTCCATTCCCTAGCCTTCCATTCCGAACTTTCCTGAATCTTTCACATTTTTTTTTTAAACAAAGCAGAACTTGTAGCTACCAGGAAGAGCCCTATTTATGGAACGGAATTTACGTTTCCTTGCCAGGGTTTCCAACCAACCTCCCAGGAAACATTAGCAAGTTTCAGGACCAGAAACGGATTGTTGTAAATTCAGACTCTTGATGTTGAAATTGCATTTTGCAAATTGCAAAGCCTCAAACACGCGCACGCCGAGGTTTAGGGCAGAGGACAAAAAGCAGCCCACGGGTACCCATCCGATGCCAGAAGCTCATTCCCCCAAATGCAGGACTTCCATTTCCCCATATCCACACCTTGGGGGGGGGGAATCTGTACAAGGTCGTTTCAGCACCCCCACACACACACACCCACTCCCCGCCCCCAGGCGCTCCCCGGAGAAGCTAAGGTAGCACCAAGACAATACCGTTCGGCTCGCCCCGAGACCCTCGAAGCCCGAGCAGAAAAATGTCCCGACCTCGTTTCTCAAGACTCACCAAGGAAGCGACCCCCGGATACTTCCACAGGACTCGGCGGCGACAATTCTTTTTTTTTCCCCAATCCCCTTCCTCCTCCGCCTACTCCTGCTGCGGCCAGAACCCCGATCTTAACCCGGACCAACGGCCCCAAAGATTCAAATTCAACCGACTTCCGCCCGCATCCCGGAAGGGGACCGCGTCCCCCCCCACCCCCGCCTGGGCTAGGAGACGGGGCGGGGATGGGGGGGTGGGGGAGTAGTGGGCGGAGTAGGAGAGGGAGACGACTCTGTGGAGGAAGCGGTCCTCCCCGGCTCCTGTCGGCCCGCGCACCTCCCCCTCCCAGACCCCCATTTAGAGATCCAGCGCCGTAGGGGAGGGAGGCTTCGCTAGCTGGGCTGGCGAGTGCGGGAAGACTGGATAGGGCGACCTCAGGGAGAAACGTGCCTGCGCTTCCTGGCGCGGCGGCGGTCCTGGAGCGAGGAGGTCGCCGTCCTGGCGTCCTGGAACAGTCCTGAAACCTATGGACCCCTTCCCAGAATACTGTTTTTAAATGCATGAAACATAATACAAGGACTAGAAAGGCAACCAGTTATATCGAAGTAGTTACAAAATATGGGTATATTTGTAAATGTGTACCTCTCCCCTCTTAAGACACATAAAAGCCAGGTGTCTGGTGAACTTTTGTAAAATATTCCCTGCTCTTGTGTGTCCCAAGAGGGGAAGGGTAGAGAGAGAGATATATGCATACGCACCTATATATCTATATATATAGATATACGTACATGTGTACATATACACATACATGTAGGTGTGTATATGTGTATATATGTATATGTATATGTATATAAAATTCATCGGACTCCCTGCTCTTGTGTATCTTAAGAGGGGAAAGGTGGAGAAATAGAGATAGATGGAGAGAGAAATATACACATATATACACAAACACATATTTTACACACACATATTTTACAAAAGTTCACCAGACTCCCTGCTCTTGTGTGTCCTAAGACAGGAAGGATGGAGAGAAAGATCAACACTATCTATTCCGTGAATGAAAAAAGCTGGATCCTTGTAAGGTACTGTCAGTTTGTTTTAGAACAAGGTTTTAGATTAGGAAGCACCTTAGAGTACAGTGGCATTGTAGTTAGTGAGAACTGTGAGATTCAAGCCCGGATTTTACTAACTCCAAATCCGAATACTGTTTCCACTCTCCAGTCTTTCCTCCAAAGTATAAATGTAGTACCTGTCAGATGACGTTTTCCTCCAAAAGTCTCACACACACACACACACACACACACACACACACACACGCCTGCTGTTCCGCCCTAATTTTATTCCTTTTATTGCCTTCATCTGTCTCTTGACTTCCTGGTACTCTGACAAAACAACACCTCTCTCCAAAAGAGGTAATGAGGCTAGCAAGGACACATTTACAAACCGACAGTTTCTTACAAGGATTCTTCTGTTTTCGACCGCAGAATAGCTAGTGTTGATCACTGTATCTCTCCACCCTTCACAGCACTCTGTTGTGTTGGTTTCCTGTTTCTCCAGGACTGCCCTCTCTACATAATGAATTTTGAAGTGGCAACTTCCTTTCCCTTTCATAGTCTCCGAACAAAGTGTTAGACTAGGAAGTACCTTAGAGATACCATATAGTTAGTGCAGACTTCGAGGGTCAAACCCAGATTTTTCTAACTCCTAATCTGAATACTTTTCCCACTACGCCATTCTTTCTCCCAAATCTATAAAGCTGGGTTTTGTGCCTATCTTAGAGCAAGAGGGCAACATCAAAAGATTATACAAATCCAGGTAGCATAAAGTTTTTGAAATTTATTTCCTTACAGGGTCCAGAACCTAACTAGATGGTGTTAAAAAAAAATAGGGGTCTCATAAAAGCAGCCAACACTAAGGTAAAGCTATGGAACAGTCTTTAACATACACCCTTCTCACATTGCTTATTGCCCTATTGATATTAAGTTTCCACTTTAAAGCTTCCATTCAAGAAGCATTTGTGTCAGACACCTGGGATTTAGAGACAAAAATGAAAGTCCTACTAGCCATTCTAGAATCCCTTCCTTTTCCATCTGACTTTCCACTCTCTTAACCCAAAAAGCCTACTTTTTTTCTCTTGACCTATAATTTCATGGATATAAGGTTGTAAATTGATGGGTGTAATGAGGAAACTCTCTAGCGATGCTGATCAGCAAATGTTCTGCAATCTATAGCATTATAAAGTTGCCTAGGGACACTGAGAAATTAAGTATCTTGTCCAGGTTAGTATAACTAGTATTCCTCTGAATCAGGAGGTGAATCCAGATTGTCCTGACTTCTCCACTTAGATTTATTCCAGTATTGCTTCTGGCTACTGCGTGGGATGCCACTCAAATTTAAAAAAAACAACAACAACAACACAGGGGTATCCAAGGAGAAACAGAAAGTTAATTTATTATTATTATTTCAGATCTCGAGATTTGGGTGTCCCTCCACCAGTATGCTCTGATGAGGGGAAACAAAGACACAGAAGCAGAAAACCAGGTTAAATAGTCCTAAACAGGTAAATTCCCCCTCCCACTAGCTGTAATGGAGGGAACTTGAAGGCATCTGAGTAAGGTCCTTTCAAAGGGAGATAAGGGGAGTAGATAAGGAACCTTTTAAGGGTTTTCTGGAACCAGATTCTTTTAGGGCAAGGGGCAAAGGCGCATCTGAATAAGATTAAAAGGTAGGCTAAGGCTTAACAACTAGACAAATTTTAACTACTGATGTATGGCACTAAAAAAAGAACTTACAGAAATCTATACTTAACCCTATCCTACCTCCTGAACTTATTACCAGATTTAGGATAGTGTTATCCCAAACTTTAGTTACACTGAGAAGTCTTCACTGGGACATCCCATTCACTACCAAGCTGTTGAGAATCACTAAAGAAAATTACACAATCCAGCTGGTTTCACTTATTACAAAATTTGCCTACCTTTCACTTCCACTCATTCATTGATCCTAGTTCTAGTTTCTGGACCTAGCTAGAATTAAAAAAAAAATCCTTCTGAAATATGACACCCTCCCCAAAACTTGAAGCTCTCCAAAAATAGTCTTTTTGTTTCCCATAGATCTCCATTTCTTTCAACTACCCTTTAGAGAAAATAGTTGAGAATATAACATCACTCTGGTTTCTCTTCCACATCTACATTTTGTTATGACCTAGGCCAAACACTAAATTCAGAAATTTTAAATAAATCACTCATGACTAAAAAACACACCAAAAATAGCTATTACTCAGAAATCACTTCCTTTTAATTTTCCTTTTTACAGTAGGGATCTGACAAACATCAACAAATATGTACATTTCCATGGATAGATAACAGAGAAAGGTATATAAAACCATGAGTCCGTTATATACAACTTTTCTCTTTTTTTTATTAGGCATTGGGGTTACCTGACTTGCCTAGGGTCACACAGCTAGTAAGTGTTATATGTCTGAGGCTGGATTTGAACTCAGGTCCTCTTAAATCCAGGGCTGTGGCTCTATCCACTTCACCACCTAGCTGTCCCCACACAACTTATTTTTTTTTTTTGGCTAGGCAATGGGGTTAAGTGACTTGCCCAGGGTCACAAGCTAGTAAGTGTTATGTGTCTGAGGCCGGATTTGAACTCAGGTCCTCCTGAATCCAGAGCCAGTGCTCTACCCACTGCACCACCTAGCTGCCCCCCCCACAACTTATTTTTAAAAGCATATAATAAGTTTCACATGGTAGTATCAATATTATCCTGTATGTCTGCATTCCTGCCTGAACTTCTTTCTCTGTATTTTTTATGTGGCCCATTGATACCTTTTTAGAGGGTGTGTGTGTGTTTTGCCCAGTCTGTCAACAATCAACAAACATAACTTGCTACTACAAGCATAGCAATGCTACTACATACTAAAAGCATCTACTATGATCTAAGAATGGTACTAAGCACTGAGAATACAAAGAAAAAATTTTAAAAGTCCTTGTCCTTAAGGCACTCACAGTCTAATAGAAAACATGAAAACTATGTACAAAGAAGATACATACAAGATAAATTGGAGATAATCAACAAAGGGAAAGTGCTAGCATTCAGGGAGATCAGGCATGACTTCTTGTAAAAGGTGGAATTTTATCTGGGACTTGAAGGAAGGCAGGGAAGCCAGTAGGCAAAGATGAGGAGGGAGAGAATTTCAGGCGTGAGAGACGGAGTCAAGTGATAAGAGTGTTCTGTTCAAGAAACCATAAGGAGACCACTGTCAGAATAAGTGGGGTTATGTAGGGTATAAAAAAGACTGGAAAGGTAAGAAAGGGATAGGTTATGAAGGACTTTGAACAACTGAGGATTTTGTATTCCTAGAAGTCATAGGGAACCACTGGAGTTTATTGAATAGATTGGGTGTGTCCAACAGGATTTGTCTAGATGTGGCCAGCAGGGAAGCATGAATAAATACTGTAATCTCTTCTGCCTGCCTATCTCCAAGGGAGACTGATTTCTGCCAGGCTGGGAGCAAGAGATTGGGACAGTGAGGCTTGCTGTTCTGTTCTCCTAGAATTATATTTATTCAACCCCCTAAGTATTGCTAACCTAAAGCAGTGTTATCAAACAGAAACAGGAACCACTAATCCATACATAAGGATCCCTGAGGGCCATATATGGTCTTGTTTTTAAAATTCAGTTCAATAAACATTTATCAAGTGCCTATTGTGTGCCCACTATGGCCAACTAGATGGCACAGTGGATAGGGCACTGGGCCTAGAGTCAGAAAGACCAACTTCAGACACTTAGTAGCGGTGTGACCTTGGACAAGTCACTTAACCCTATTTGCCTCAGTTTCCTCATCTATAAAATGAGCTAGAGAACCACTCCAATATCTTTGCCAAGAAAACCCCAAATGGAGTCACTGAGTCAGACAGGACTGAAATGACTGAACAACAAAAATGTGCCAGGTATCATGCTAAGTGCTAGGGATATAACAAGGAAAAGAAGATAGTCCCTGCCTTCAAGGGACATGCAGTCTAATGGAAGACAACACACAAAAAGAGTCTGGAAAAGTAGAAGAGAACCAAGGGGTATCTGGCACAGAGGCATCTTGTTTAAAGGAGTTTAAACCAAACAGAACTTTGAATGGAAAGTTAAGTGAGTAGAAAATCCAAATCCTTCCTGCACTCTATAAAGGACTTTGGGAAGAAT